CCCGCACACAGTTGAAGACTGCCAGCAGCCTCCATAACTATTACTTGGTTGGTTGGTTGGTTGGTTTATTTCGCACAATGAACGGGAACTAGGCCCAATGATATGAAGGCGAACGGATAAGCCACATTTAGAAAAGATAGGACAGGAATTATTTGAACTTTGGTGATCTACTACACGTGTATCGGTATATTTACGATGTGTGTCGTGTTGTAGCATTTGTATCATCACATCTACATGTGGAAGTGGCGTGAAACTGGCTAGGGAATCTCAAAACTACATGCAGTCGTATGTACATGTACGTGTATCATCAAGTTCATCTCCGCCTCTGAGAAGTAAAAGAACGTGACAACTTGTTCTGTGCTGTTTTAGGCAACATTGTAGCTTTGATGTTGGTTGACAGCATGTTACAAAGCGGAAGACACACTGTGTTTGGAAACAGTGTCCCCTAATACAACCATCCACGGTTGGCAGAACCCCGGTCTTGCGACCATTTGAACCTTATGTGCGCTGGCTTTGATCTGCAGTTCGAGTTGGTTGCATGGTCTTGTAAGTAAACTAAAGTAAGTTAGCGCATGCGCGTTACCACCGGCCATACAATTAACACATTTTGTAATTAAACTCGGATGTTGAGCCATAAATAAATGTAGAAAGGAAAAAGACATTATGGATACGAGTTAAGAGTAACTCTCCATCACTGTAACATGATAATTTATACAGTCAGAAAGTGCAATAACTAGGCACAGAACTGACAGAGTACTGAGACATTCGAAGTCCTGACACCTAGCTTCAACACACGTCGAATGTCTCAGTACTCTGTCAGTTTTGTGCCTAGTTATTGCACTTTCTGACTGTATAAAGTATGATGTTACAGTGATGGAGAGTTACTCTTAACTCGTATCCATAATGTCTTTTTCCTTTCTACATTTGTAATTTTTATTGTTTTTAAAAGGATTCCCCAAAGGCTTTCGCCTATCGAGGGGGTTTCCAAACTTTCCATAATGCCAAATCTGTCAAAGAAGTGAGTATACTGAGAAACACAACCAGCTACTGCTTTGGAAGATTCGCTTGCCCCAGGCCACCACCATGCCTGCATATACATACTTGTACATACCCCTATCGTCGGTTGCAGATGCAGCGCCTAGCGCCAGTAGCCTGGTCTAAGTGGAGTGAAGAAAACAATGAGCCTAGGAATCTCTCAGGGTAAGGATCATCTTAACATTTGCCATGAAAATAAACTTTCAATGGACGTGTGAATTGAGATGCGGTAGGGCAGGACAACTAGAGGGGAATGCTAGGCTGTGAGATGGTAGGTCTCGGGTCATGGTACATGCACGTATAAACGACGTCCACTACAGCTGTACATGGTACTGTTGTAGGTTTGCGTGGTCGTGCACTGAAAGTAGCCCTTGGCGGAGAATGCTCCTTGAATTGGCAGATTCCGCACCACAAGCAGTGAAATTGGCAGAACCATACAAACATTTTGGCAGGGACTTCCTCGAATTCCGCTCCATCTGGTTATCCACATAATTATCAACATCATGGAACATACCAGAAACCCGCATGCAAGGAGCCTCCACACGGCCAGCGAACCACCACAGGCAGTATTGTGACATGTACTAGTGGGGTTCTAGGGTTTACCGGGTGCGGCCGTCGTGCGTGAGTTCCTTTCGGGAACGGACACGGTAATGTACTCTTCTTTTTTCCTTTATAGAATGCTGAGGTGGTGAGGAGGTGGATCAGGGGTCGCCTAAAGTTAGTTACAATCATGTACTCTACAGATGAAAATGAACCTGTCCAGCAATGTAAGGCTCTTCGCCAAGATTCGGCTTGATGTTTGGTGGCATGACTGCTAGCATCAAGATTCAAGAGCGGCGTGTTTAATAATTATCATGGCTGTATCATGGTTATCGCAGAGCCATCCGGGGTCAGGGGCCCCGGGGGTTGTGTCACTTGAGCTCCGTACATGTACTGCACTGGCTTTGTCAGTGTCACTGATGTCGAGTCCACTACTCACTGATGTCGAGTCCACTATACTACTCACTGTCCGCGAGGGAGACTGAGTTGATGTCTTCAGCTCAGCCTCAGGGCAGAGATTCCGCTTGCTATCACCCAGCAGCGCGGGTCACTGATGAGTATCTAGAGTGCGTAGCCAATTGTACTCTTTGTATTTGTATTTAGTGTATTTGTAAAAGGATTTCCCAGAGGCTCTAGGCCGGCCGTGAGGATCTCCTACTCATAGAAATATCATGTATTCGGGAAAGAGGACAGGACAAGAGCACAAAATGGAAGCAAAGAAAGACAAGAAAAGAAAAGAAGCAGGCACAGGAATCGCACACCTTGGTAGTAAGTACTAGTAACCAAAGAACATAACGCATGGGTTTGCAATGTACATGTACATGTACATGTGCATGTCTATGTTACTCTAGACTACCGTATATTCTCTATTACAAGCACAGGTCTTCATTACTAGCACAGTCTCTATTACTAGCACACTGTGAGCACCTTTCGAAACATTATAAGCACAGTCTCTATTATTAGCACGGTCTTGGTGGAAATCAATGCTGCATACATGATATCTAGCATGTATTTCTTCTTGCTCTGTGTGGATGTATTGGTTGAAAAAATATAAGCACGGTCTCCAATATAAGCACGGGGTAGAGGGGTGTTGAAAAAATATAAGCACGGCGTTTATAATAGAGAATATACGGTATAAGCACAGGTCTTCATTACTAGCACAGTCTCTAATACTAGCACACTGTGAGCACCTTTCGAAACATTATAAGCACAGTCTCAAACAGTTAGAGGACAGAGAAAGTGTTTTTACTCCGAGTTTCACGCACTAAGCGATCATCAGAAAACAGTGATGAGAAATCTGGATCAGTATTGGTTTATGCTCACAACATGGCGCAAATCTAAAAGTTGTGAACGGCGGCAGTGCAAAGCGTGAATGACGCCAAGCACAGTCTCTATTATTAGCACGGTCTTGGTGGAAATCAATGCTGCATGCATGATATCCAGCATGTATTTCTTCTTGCTCTGTATGGATGACTATTGGTTGAAAAAATATAAGCACGGTCTCCAATATAAGCACAGGGTAGAGAGGGGTGTTGAAAAATATAAGCACGGCGTTTATAATAGAGAATAAACGGTATACATGTACATGTAGTTTCCTTGGAGACAAGAATGCAATACTGCCAATAATAAAACAGAGAGGCTTTCCAAGAGAGTGCTCAATACCGAGAGGCAGAGCTAGTGTTTGTTATTGCCAATACCGTAATAGTACTACTAAGGAGAAGAACACACTTCGTGCTCTTGAACAACATGTTGATAGTTTTCATCAGTACAGGTACTTTCAAGCCTTCTCGTCAGGTGAAATACAGACAAAAGCAAAGGAACTAGAGAAGTGGAGGGGTGATAAACAGTGCAAAGAGGAGGGCTAAAAAACGAAACGAAATTGTGTATGGGGGAGCTTATACATGTACAGTCGTCCCTCGATAATCCAGCACTTTATAATCCAGCACCCTCGATAATCCAGCACTTTATAATCCAGCACTTTATAATCCAGCACTTTATAATCCAGCACTTTATAATCCAGCACTTTATAATCCAGCACTTTATAATCCAGCACTTTATAATCCAGCACTTTATAATCCAGCACTTTATAATCCAGCACCCTCGATAATCCAGCACTTTATAATCCAGCACCCTCGATAATCCAGCACTTTATAATCCAGCACCCTCGATAATCCAGCACTTTATAATCCAGCACCCTCGATAATCCAGCACTTTATAATCCAGCACCCTCGATAATCCAGCACTTTATAATCCAGCACCCTCGATGATCCAGCACTTTATAATCCAGCACCCTCGATAATCCAGCACTTTATAATCCAGCACCCTCGATAATCCAGCACTTTATAATCCAGCACCCTCGATAATCCAGCACTTTATAATCCAGCACCCTCGATAATCCAGCACTTTATAATCCAGCACCCTCGATGATCCAGCACTTTATAATCCAGCACCCTCGATAATCCAGCACTTTATAATCCAGCACCCTCGATAATCCAGCACTTTATAATCCAGCACCCTCGATAATCCAGCACTTTATAATCCAGCACCCTCGATAATCCAGCACAATTTTCAGTAGCCAAAATGTCCTCTTCATGCACATTGCAGCAGTAAATCCGTTTTGTTAATCCAGCACCCTCCCTAATCCAGCAGATTTTCCGTGGCACAAATGCTGCTGGATTATAGAGGGATAGAGGGACCACTGTAGTACCCTTGATAATAGGACAATCAGTCAAGTACAGTGCTGGCAACTGAAATCCGACCCCCCCCCTAGCCGTGCGCTAGCCGCGTTGGCGATTCGTACGAGACGCTAGGGGGGGGTCGGATTTCAGTTGCCAGCACTGTACATGTACTTCAGTAGTTGCAAGATCATAATAATATTATTACTTTTGAAGTATTATTATCAGCAAGACGAGTGTACGTAAAACAGTCAACCTTACCTAGAGTAAGCAAGATGGTCGCTACAGTTGGTCTGAAGATCGTCAAGTGTCGTTCCTCACAAGTTAGTTGTTGCTATACTGAGTCGAGGTCGTTTGTTGTACATGTACGTGCTGTATACGTGTACATGTATGTACATGTAGTCGAGGTCGTTACTCACTACGTTTGTTGTACAATCATGTACGTAACGTTACTGTTACAGTGTGCCTATGATTGTTATCAAGAGTACATAATGTACTCTTGTTGTTATCAATGATATCAACTTATCAAGAGTATAATTATAACCCCTGGGGTTGTAGTTATACATGACTACTTGGTGATATGAACACAGCATGCCAGAACTCTGGCACTTTATACACTGGCAGCTAATCACAAGACACTGTATAACCACGTACATGGACATGTGTACATGACGGTACAACTGTTCGTGTTAGTGTAGTGGGTAGCCGAGTAGTCGGATGGAGGCACACACACAAGAAGACTGACTAATATTACATTCTCCGGCTCAATCTGCCTGAAGTTATGTTTACAACTGCTCCGGCTCAATCTGCCTGGAGGGACTCTGAACGGAATACAACTGCTCCGGCTCAATCTGCCAGGAGGGACTCTCTTCTCTGCTATGAGCTAATTCTCTGGTAGAGCAGATAGGGCTTATATAGCATAGACAGCATATACATGGCAAGGGGAGAAATAGTAGTGCAAGGAGAAGACGTACAAGGAGCTAACGTGAAAGGAATAGGTAGGAGGAAGAATGGACCTAAGTAGCGAGCAACCATTAGGTAACAGGAATGCAATCTAACAGTATGAAGGAAACTAATGTGAATGGCAGGCAGGGTAATTGGGCGTGAAGGTTACTAAGAGGACAGCGGTTGGAAAAGCCATTTGACTGTGTGCGAGCTAGGACATGGATTCTGGGAAGACATCTGGCGGAAGAAGAGAAGCGGAAGATATCTTAGAACTAGTAATCAAAAGAGTTAGTGATGAGGAACGGGCTATAGGAATCAATGTAATGTAGTACAGCATGAATGTGTGCAACATGTATACAGGTCATGCCGTACCGGTCTGCAGGCAGGGTTGTCTAGTAGTCCTACTTCAAAGTATTAAAGTGGTTGCTGGGAAAAGCACTTAGGAGTAACCGGTGGGACAAGAGTTGGTTATCAGTAGGGCCAGGGATACTACACCCTCCCTTCCTACACTAAATCACGCCCTCGTGATTTGACATCCAGTTCGGTGATGTATGATGAACAGGACTCACTAGAAGGCACCGTCAGTAGGTGGACTGGACATCTAACTTGCATTCACGTACAGGTATTCTTGAATTTTGAACAGAGCGCTGGACCGAAAGAGTGACAATTGACACTAGTAGTAGTTGGAGCTCAGCAGCAGATCATAGGAGGCGGTGTGAACGTCATAGTAGTAGATAGCGTATTGCTTGTAGAGCGTCAACCGGAATATGGCAAATAATATCGGAAATGATAACGTTTTTTAGAGTAGACAGAAGAACTGAACTGATAACAAATCAAAAATAGAAGCACACCAGGTTCTCACCATCTCACGGGGTCAAAAGGGAATATTGTCCTCCAAATAGGACTCACAGCACACTTGCTGTACCACCATGGCGTTTGAGCCATAAAAATAGTTCACAGTTCCAAACTGAACTGGACAAAGGGCACTCTAACACACATTATCCCAGGTTAGCTAGATAGACCGTGGCTCACCATGATCGGACGCCTACCTAACTAAACTGGATTCACTCACTCGCATAAAGGAAGACTGAAGAGAACAGGAAGACTGAAGGAAGACAGGAAAGAAAATGCCATATCGGGAATTAGCTTACGTTGGACATGGAGCTGGATCGGTAGAGACGCTGTCCGTCATCATTTCGGGCTAGGGGGAGACGTGGCGGGCGAAGGAGTAGCGGCGACTGACGCATCAGGTTGGGCCATGCTGGTACCGGTTACACCAATAGAACAATTCACCGCTGCCATCAGTTCTGTTGCGCCGCTGCCATCACTGCAATACAGATACTAGGTGGGTTCGAATCTAGCAATTATAAAATTGAACCACCGCTGCCACCAGTGTAGTGGGTAGCCGAGTAGTCGGATGGAGGCACACACACAAGAAGACTGACTAATATTACATTCTCCGGCTCAATCTGCCTGAAGTTATGTTTACAACTGCTCCGGCTCAATCTGCCTGGAGGGACTCTGAACGGAATACAACTGCTCCGGCTCAATCTGCCAGGAGGGACTCTCTTCTCTGCTATGAGCTAATTCTCTGGTAGAGCAGATAGGGCTTATATAGCATAGACAGCATATACATGGCAAGGGGAGAAATAGTAGTGCAAGGAGAAGACGTACAAGGAGCTAACGTGAAAGGAATAGGTAGGAGGAAGAATGGACCTAAGTAGCGAGCAACCATTAGGTAACAGGAATGCAATCTAACAGTATGAAGGAAACTAATGTGAATGGCAGGCAGGGTAATTGGGCGTGAAGGTTACTAAGAGGACAGCGGTTGGAAAAGCCATTTGACTGTGTGCGAGCTAGGACATGGATTCTGGGAAGACATCTGGCGGAAGAAGAGAAGCGGAAGATATCTTAGAACTAGTAATCAAAAGAGTTAGTGATGAGGAACGGGCTATAGGAATCAATGTAATGTAGTACAGCATGAATGTGTGCAACATGTATACAGGTCATGCCGTACCGGTCTGCAGGCAGGGTTGTCTAGTAGTCCTACTTCAAAGTATTAAAGTGGTTGCTGGGAAAAGCACTTAGGAGTAACCGGTGGGACAAGAGTTGGTTATCAGTAGGGCCAGGGATACTACATTAGTTGCTCGGGCGCCGTGATCACTGCAGATGGGTGATACCGGGGTGGGGGGATATATGTACTCTTGGGGATACGTTACCGGCGTATTGGTATACGCAGAAGTTAGTTTGCGGTTGGCCACGGGTGATGCATGGCTGTGCTTCTCAACGCACTAGCCGCTGACTGTGTTGCACAGGGGCCGGAGGTTACTGCTACAGTAACCGTCAACTTCGCTAATAGCGACTGCGGATATAACGACAATTCGTGAATAACGACAGAATTTTCATGCCCAGAGCAAAGTCCAATCCAACTGTAACACATAAAATCAGACTTCGGGTATAACGACACTTCGCGATAATAAGGACACTTTTCTGATGCCCCGCCGAGTGTCATTACCGGTATAAGCGAGTTAGTTGACTGTACATGACTGCATACCACTACTGCATTACTTGCCATTAGCACTAGCAGGTACTACTAGTACTACATGTACATGTACATGTACATGACATGTACATGGGAACGTGAAGGAAGTCAAGATACCTTTTTACGGGTATCGGGTACCGGGTGACATTCACGTTTTACCGCGACGACGTACGTATACCGGCACACGTAGACATGTGCCATGTTGCTATCATGACACTGTATAGTCATGTGCAGATGTTGATAATGTCGATACTCTTGCAGTCTTGGCGATGTGCACGCCAAGAGTACCGGCGCGGCCGCAGCATGGCCGTAATACTAATGTCATCGAAAGTCCTATGTTATCACAATGACTAACTAACTTACTTAGAACCTTCAAAGTAACTAAAATTCGTTGGAAGGCTGTTGAAGTGCGCATCCAAGATGTGCTAGAGCTGATACTTAGTTGTAGAGCGTCAGTACCGTCGGTCAGTGTCGTGCAATGTTATCGAGTGAGCTGATTGTTTAGTAACTGGTGGCGTTTGTGGACAGTATAGCGTACCTTGTAGTTCCTTGGTCCTTGCTCCTTTCTATAAAGTCGTCGAAGTGGTTAGTTTACACTGAAGTAGTAAAGTAACTGCATGACCTCATGACATGAGTCATTTGATTCTTCATGGCCATTTGGACACTTCTTATCCTTACACTGTTACAGGTAGCTGTTCAGTGCATGCTTGAGTTTGTCGGAGGTGAATGACACATGCCACCACACCCGGCGGCCCTGGCCAAGTAAAGGCCAGCGTCGCGCCGCGCCGGCGAGTATATCTACCCGGGGATAACCCTCCCTGCCCCTTGCCTTGGCCGATAATGCCTGCAGAGAATTGGCAGAATTTTTCTGGCATGTTTCGTGCATATTTGGTATGGATAAAGAAATGGAGCAGAATTCAATGAACCATTAAGAACCATAACGCATAAGGTCTGTATGGTTCTGCCAGTCTCACAGCTTGGAGTGAGAGAGAAAAAAAGGTGGAGCATTTCGTCGACGATAGGCTCTATTCTCTCCCCCCCCCCCCCTACGCCTAGGCCCTACGCCTACGGCCTATTGACAATTAATTTGTATTTTTTTGTTGTAATTATTTTGTAGTCCTATCGAGCTGCGCTACCCAGGCTGTGAGCGCTTGCATGCGACCAAGTACATGAAAACCGGTTTTCATGTACAGTGAAACCTCGTTAGGAAGAACACTGATAGTGATAAGAAAGAAGACCTCCCGTTATCAGTGGTTATTGCAAACAAAATATCATCGCATTCATCTGTCCCTTTACTTGGTGTTCGTCCTAAAGAGGTTTGACTGTACTCTTGATGCGACCTACCGGTCACCATGGAAACCTAGCGACAGAAAAAAGTTTTTTTTCGTACGAACCGGCCCCGGGCCCGGCCTCGCGGCCCGCGCGGCACATGCATGCACATGATTGTTTTACTTTTCAGTTTTAGCTCGCGTGCATGCATGCAGTGCATGCACCCAGCATGCCGCACACGTACACGCGCCCGCGCGTAGAGATCTACGCGGCGCGGATGTACATACATGTGTGCATGCAGCCATTGCAGGTGCGAGCATCCACGAAAATTATTATCAAAATCAATGAATGTGTGCAGTACATGTACAAAGGAGATTCCTTCTGCTTTTTTGACTTCAGCCTTCACTGCACAAGGCTTCAGTTCATTATCGATTTTCTTATCTTTACTTGTCTCACTGACACACTAGCACTTGAGCTAGTAGTAGTACATAATTGTAGTAGTTGAGCTTGCCGCTGTCTGCAGTGCGCCATATTTCGGGCACGTAGCAGTCGTTTCGATGATTGCTCCCGAAGCCTTCTCCGTGAGCTAGGCCTCAAGCTGCTCAACTCGAGTACTAGTATTATTGACGTGCATCAAGTATCAGTTATAATTTGGTGCACGGTTTGTTCCATGCACAGTGCAGCGAAGGCGGTTTCGGTTCATTGTTCAGATTTGTGTCGTCTCGTGAAGCTGGTCTGCGTCTGTACTTTGTGTGCGTGTACCAGTGTCATGTGCTGCGTTGGGAGCCGAGTTTAGAGAGATTTCTGGGGAATTTGTAGACATAATATTTAAAGATACTCTTACTCCTACCCTCGGGACCTCAGGGCAGCACTTGTTCTCGAGTAAATAGTTTGAAATAGGCCGTGATTGGATCCGCCGCATGCACCAGTCGCAATGAGGCTGCCCTCGATGTCGTCCGTCGCTCAGACGTCGGCATTTGTTGTGCTTCTCCTGGTGCTGTACCTGATCCTTGATGGCTGCGACCCGCGCATTGCTGGCAGCACAGTCCACCATGCAACCCACGCGCACCTAGCCAAGCTGAAAGCACAGCGCCTGGTGAAGAAGGAGCTGCAGGAAGAGGTTGCGGCGCTGGACAAGCGCCTGGAAGAGCTGCGCAAGGAGAAGAGAAAACTGGCGGCGGCACAGCAGGACGCGGCCGATCAGCAGGTGGAGAACAGCGTACAGCCGTGGGAGTTCGTCACCGACTCCATCTACTACCTGACGGAGTCCGCGCAGATGTCGATGGCGGCGCACGTGTACACATCCGCGTTCGCCGAGCGCCGCCTCGAGCTCAGTAGCCTGCTGGCCAGCGCGAAGGAGCTCGCGGACTCCATGGCGAAGAAGACCGAATCACAGAGCTCGTTGCGCTACTCGTACGGATTCCTGAAGTTCGATCCCGTGCAGGGGCTGGACGGCGAGTTCCACTACTCGGGCAGCGGAGGTGCGATGTACGCACTGCGCGCCGCCCGCGACTTTGGCCCCCCGGTCGTCGTGGCAACGGAGACGCTGAACAAGTACGGCGCTCACGTTCACATGGTGATGCCGCTGTCGGGCCGTCTCGACAAGCTCGCCTTCTTCCTGGACACGTTCCTGCAGGTGTACGCCTCCGACTCGAGCCTGTTCCTGACCATCGTCTACTTCGGCTGGGAGGGCATGGACGAAGCGCAGGCCATGACGCAAAAGAAGCTGGCTGAGAGGCACGCGCAGAAGCCCGTCTACCGCTTCATCCGGCACGAGGGCAAGTTTAGCCGCGGTGTCGGCCTGCAGCACGGCGCCTTTTCCAACGACAGTTGGCCCGTCGCCGACCCCGCGGCGACGGGCTCTGAAAGCGCGCTGCCCGACCGCAAGTCCATGCTGCTGTTCTTCATCGACGTCGACATCCTGTTCGACGAGGCGGCGCTGGTCCGCTGCCGACTACTGACCGAGCGCGGCAGGCGAGTGTACTACCCGATCGTGTTCAGCCAGTACAATCCGGAGGTGGCGTATCGGCATCTGGACGAGGCGCCGGAGCTGCGCGACCGCACCGAGCACAACTACACGAGCGGCTTCTGGCGCTCGTTTGGCTTTGGCATGGCGTGCGTGCACTACGCCGACTTCAACGCGTCCGGCGGCTTCGACCTGAACATCAAGGGCTGGGGCGCGGAGGACGTGATGCTCTATCGCAAGTTCATCGCCCAGCGCAAGGTACAGGTGATGCGCGCCGTCGACCCCGGCCTCTTTCACATCTTCCACGAGAAGGTGTGCGACAAGACGCTCAACGCCGAGCAGATGCGCATGTGCCAGGGCACGAAGGGTGTCAACGAAGCGTCGCCGGAGCAGATGGGCTACTTGCTTTACAAGTAAGCAAGCATGCACGATGCTGCTACGGCTGCTGCTGCCAACGCATGCTTGTGATTCGCTAGGCCAGCGTGGATTGGCTCTGCAGCTGTATCGTGAAAGAATATTGACGGATCTGTGTCACGTACCCTGGAGCGTATTTCTACCTAGGTGATTAGAACTCTGGAGCTGAGTAAGGTAGTTCTCTCTCTCTCTCTCTCTCTCTCTCTCTCTCTCTCTCTCTCTCTCTCTCACTCACAGGTTTTCTCCCTCTGCCTGTCTGTCTGGGTTTTTTTCTTCGCTTATTTTATACAGATATTTTATACTGATTTATTTGGTGAAAACAAAAGAACCAGGCTTTAACCGAGTTCTGCGTCACGCACCCCCTTCTCTTCTTCGGTGCTTTGTTTCTCTCTGTCACGTCGCTCTCTTTTCTTTTACCCTTCCTACAGTATCCAGTTAGAATCAGTGTCCTGAGCAGACCATATTGTTAGCCTATCACACCGCCTACGGTCCTTTTTATTTATTCATCTCCAGTACTAGTAACCTAACCGCCATAATTCTACTATTATGCTCTGCAGGCTTCAGCATGTGTGCACGTTTTCGCTGGACGGAAACTCCTTGGTATTGTGTTCATTGTATCAGGATATATATATTATACTTTTCGAATACGACCGTACGTACTTGCAGTGCATCGTAGCATTTGTACACTCGCTGTATTTTTATGCTTCAAGTACACGATGCTGGCTATCCACATGTGACCTGTGCTCATGCACCCTGTTGGTTCTGTACATTTCAATTTTGCAAATATCCTATGTGCATTGTTAATTTGTGTTTCGTCTAAAGTTTTTTTTTCAAGTCCTCTGCTGCAGCTATGGCCCGTATGGGCTCTTGATCTTGTCAATCTTCCTGACCTACAGTTTTCGAAAAGTATTATCATACTGCTCTGGGAATTTACCAGATGTAGTTATGTGTGTGGGTGAGTGTGTGCGTGTGCGAAGCCACTTCAAATAGCTGTGTGGTGTAGACCAGGCTGAATAGTCGCGGTCAATTGTTCAGCCTGGCAAGCTGTTGAATAGTGCAATCCCAGCACGAGTTGCTATGGGTTCTGCTGTAGCATCGCTGTCGTTGCCTCTGGTGATGGGCGTCAACAGATCGAAAGGTGTGATTGTGTGCGATCCCTTTTGAGTCTCTCTCCCTCCCGGGGACGCCCATATGACTTGTTTATGGCAGTGTGTGTGTGTGTGTGTGTGTATGTGTGTGTGGTGTGGAACATGTTCTGTCGAAGCGGCGACCTGAACCGCCATCAGTCATTCTGTCACGGACTGGAGAAATAATAATGCGCTCTCAATAGTATCATTGTAACGCAATGGGCAAGGTCAGGGTGTTTGTGTGTGTGTGTGGACGTACGTGTGTGTGTGTACATACGTGTGTGTGTGTGTGTGTGTGTGTGTGTGTGTGTGTGTGTGTGTGTACATGCAGGGGCGTCGCACACGGTACGGTCACTACGGTATTGACCGTGCCCCAGATACCCCGTGAATCAACAAAATACACTGATCTGGGATCTAAAATTCCCAAATTTTCGGCTCAGCCACCCCTCCCACACGAGTAAATTGTACTTCAGATGGCTGACCGTACCACACTAAAATACCTTCCGACGCCCCTGACATGTACATGTAACAAATTTAAACTACCACTTATTTGTGTTTGTAGGGCTTCAAGCGAAAGTAATTCATCTTGCAGCATATTGTGTATTACAATCATGTACATTGTACATACTCAATCTGCGGACAGAACTGTTTCGTCCTTTGTGGACTCATCAGCGCAGCACAGAGGAAAATAATTTAATGATGCCGAACCTGATCAGTAGCAATGAAAAATAAATACATTGATGTAAAAAAAAACAAGATCCACTTCTTCAAGTACGGTACAGTGGCTGTATACGTGTATGCTTGTATACACTGCAAAATTAATAATTATTGTTGTCTCATGCAGAAATGTCAAAAATGGCATTACATGCTGAATGAAGTGAATGTCTCTGAAAAAATGCAGGGGGATTCCCCCTTCAGCCCGCCCAGCATGTGTTCGCTGCTGTTCATTCAATGTCAAGACGACCCACATTAGGCACATACCAAGTCAAGAGTTGAAGAGAGATCGATCGAGACGAGTGCAAGAATAGAAGTGCAGAGTGCAGTGCAGCATGCTAGCAGCAGCTCGTGCATGCTGTCTTTCTCGCAGCTCGTATGTACATATGTGACAGTGATCATGGTGATGAGTCGCTGACAACAAAGTACAATGACTGTAGAAAATCATGGCAAAACAATATCGATGTACAGTACTATTCCACGCACTGGCATGAGTTGACGTTGTCGTGTCTACATTTGTAGTTGTGTTTGGCCGCGTGCTTTTTCTTCTTCTGAACCGCCCCGTCACTTCTCAAGCCGCATAGTAGCTGTGTTGGCGTGTTTACTTCCTTCAATCATTGCCATTCGGCATTCGCCTGGGTGGTTGTGCGCTGGTCGAGTCAGTGATAGTGCAACCGTGGTGGTGCTGTTGTCAATTTTTGGGCCTTCGCAAAAGCAACACTGCCCCGGCCGTGCAGTGCCTGACCTCATTATCAGAGCTACACTGATGACAGGGCAGCTAGCGGATTGCATTTTTTACTTCATGCCAAGCGCATCGCTAGCGTCTTTGTTTTCGTTCGCGGGCACAACAAATTATTATTTCAATGACATTGCTGTCGGCCGACAACAGCGGGTATTTCTAGATTTCTAGTTTCTATACGAGTCGGCCAGTGTCCGTGCTGCAAGTACTAGTAGTATTAGTAACTGCCTGTTGACGCTGGTTCCTGTGTCTGCTCGCCTGTTTTCCGCGTGGTGCTAGCAGCGGAAAGGACGCTGTCAGCCTACGCCGAAGACGAGAAGGAACAACAGTAACTGTTGCTGAAATTATTTTGGTGATGGCGGATCGCAGTCCCAGCTCTGACGGTGATACCCGCACGAGCCCTGACGGAGCTCAGTCTCACAGGAACCATGCACCAGACTCGTCGGAGTACGACTCGCAGCAGCGTCGACACAGTCGGAACTCGGCAGCGGAGCTAGCAGCTACTGCCGAAGAGGACGCGGAGCTTGTCGACTTCCTGACGACGCATGTCCTGCAGCAGTACGCGGACGCGCTGCGAGCCTCGGGAATTCGTAAGGTCGAGCATCTCGCTGATGTTCAGGAGACAGATTGTGAGGAGATGGGTATGACGAAGTTCGAGTCACGCCGCTTGCTACGCGTCTATGAGAAATGGAAGAAGCATAGAAAATCCACCATTCCGAAAAGATTGGTGAGTGACACTTCGCCCATGTGTGTGCGCGTGTTTGTGTGTGTGTGTGTGTATGTGCGTATGTATGTGTGTGTGTGTGTGTGTGTGTGTGTGTGTGTGTGTGTGTGTGTGCGTGTGTGTACTGGAACGTGTCTGTGTGCATGTCCAGGCGCGTGCATGCGTGTGTGTTTGTGTGCGCGTGTATGTGTGTTTTGCGCGTGTGTGTGTCCGTGTGTGCGTGTGTACATGAGATAATTCTAAGTGGTGCGTGGACCTATGCCATCTCAGCCATTCATCTGTCTGCTCGTTGCAACTGGTTTGAATGGCGGGGTGGGGGAGTGTGGCGAAGTCATAACGTGAGCTCTCGCCAAGCGCCAGTACAACATTGCAGTGTTAATAATCCCGGACCTGCTCCAGTCCTGCCCCCAAACTAGGTTGAACACCATCGGCACAGCATGTGCACTATACACATGGCCCGGCACACAGGCCTCACAATGCCACACAGTCAGACTTGAGGTGCTGTAGAGGCAGAAAGTTTCGTCGGTCAATAATTTTCGTCCAACTCCAAAGAAAGGGAGTTCGTCCTGTTGAAAATTTCGTCCGTGGATCACAAGAGTGTATTGAAAAGCTGGGCAAATCGACATTATCGCATTTCCCCGTAAGTTAGTACGTACTAACTTTCGAACTTAGCAGCCACATGAGTACTAACTTTCGGGGGTGGTACTATCTTTCGGGGAGTACTTTTTTATCGGGGGTAAATGACACGCAGTGGGAAACCTGCGCAACTCTAGTGTCCGTGCTTATGATTTATGTACTGTACGGTGTCTGTACATGTAGGACGGGTACGAACTTACTATCTTTCGGGGGGAACTGTCTTTCGGGGTGATAACCTCGGCAGTGGAAAGTGTATTTTTTATAGGGGGGTACTAAGTCATTGGGGAGAACTTACTTACGGGGAAATACGGTAGTTCGACATATTTAATTTAGCGCAAAAGCTCCTTGGACGAAAGAGACGAAATTATATTCCAGACGAATATTTCTGCTTTAAATAATATACAAAATAGTGACAACTACAACTCGAGAAATAACGCCGTCGGGTATAGCAACCTGGGGGGGGGGGGGGGGGGGGGGGTAAAAACTCGTGAATAGCGACATAATCCTCAGACCGAGGGATGAGTTGGCTGCATACTTTCAACAATTCACGAATACTGTAAATCAACAAATATTCGGCGCATATCTATTTTCGGCTGTTTTCAGCCTGGTCATGTTTGGCCGAAAATGTGTGTGTTTGTGGTACATGATGTGTGTGTGTGTGTGGTGCAGCTGAAATTTTGTTTTGCAAGGTTCAGTGTGACAGTGTATACAGGCGGCAGCAGTACAGGCTGAAAATTTGATGCGGCCGAAATGGGTTTTAGCCCTGGGAAGCCGAAACTGACTGGGTCGAAAATTTGTAGCCGTACAGTAACGACACATGGCCAGTAATCTACGAAAATCACCCTTTGGTGACTTTTTGGCAAAAATGAGTTTTTGCATGGAAAACAACCACACATCCATGCTGCTCAAAATACCAAAGTTTCAGGGCAGTCTGACCGCTCCTTGCGGATATATGAGGTGGTTTGTCTAGGACACTCCAGTGCAGAATTTGTGAAAATAGCCCAAATATTTGCTGATGTGTTCTGCTTTCGTAATGCTATTTTACAGGCAATGAGAGAAGAAAAATAACTACTGTTGACATGACAATGTCGACACAAGTCCAATTAGGGCTCTTCTGGCAGTGAAGCACCTGCTGCTAGCTCTGGGCAGGTAATATCTCTATTCTCCTCATGGCAGTGTTGTCGAATCTGCTTGTAGAGGTATTCTGCACGTTGGTTGGACAATCCTGCTGGCAGGATACTTGGAGGCGGACCAGCAGACAATAAGGAGGCGACATGAACAGTAGACTTCAGTACAGTAGTTGTGTGGTCATCCAGAGTGGTCTATCCCAACTGGACACTCTTGATTGTATGCTCTGTCGCGTCATGTGCATAAATAAACACAGCCTTGCACACTGCTGTTCCAGCAAAAGCATACTCAAACGTAATCCGACCTCTGACGCCAGCTTGGGCTGCCGCCACGTGATGAGACACTTCACCACGTCTCGCTAGAGCTTCCAGCTTTCCCAGCAAGCAGCACAAACTTTCGTTGCGTAGCTCCTAGCACGCTGCCAAGTAAGTTGCGAACGCGCAGGATGTCGTCAGGTGCGATGTTGGTGAAGCAGTTCGCACCCTGACACCCACAGCCTTTCTCAACGCGAGCGACAACGTCTTCAAGTGTTGACACAGTCGCAGCTTGACCTTTTCGCCTTCGCTTACTGGGACCACTTGCAGCTAGAGGCTGATCGGCCTGCGCTGGCGCCGCATCATCAAACTTTTCCTCCGCATCACTCTCTAGTGCTTCTGCCGTAGCGAGCTCAGCTGGCTCGTCGTCAGGACTATCATCTGACCACTCGATGTCGCTCCCAAAAATAAAAGATCATCGTCCAGGAGGGCAAAGTATCATCCACCGAGAAGCCTATAACGGTTTGAGCCAACGATCACCGCCTTCCACCTTCCGCCATCGTGACTATCCAAAGACAACCTGCTGTCAGAGTTTGCGCTTGGTCACGCTTCAGTGATCAATCTTTAATCTCGATTTTCTCGAAAAATTTACATCTCACCGAAGGGTGATTTTCGCAGATCGCCGGCCACATGGTTTTTTTGTGTCTAGTACTGTCTACTATGTGCTGTGTGTACAGACTACTATGTCCTGTGTGTACTTACAACGGATCTACAAGTTCGAGGAAACACTGGAAAAGCGGCGTAAAAGGAGAAAAACATAAATTTCAGAAGTTCCATCTCAACAGCCCTGGACTTTTGCAGGACATCCCGGGACCCCGGGACAAACACCCCCCCCCCCATTCCCTGGACTGCCCCGGGAAACCCTGAACGGTGTGGCATGTATGAACTCGCGGATCATGGACGGCATTCTAATTCTCCTGCACGCTCGAGGCTGGTTATTCGCACGGTTAACTGTGTGTGTGCTGTGTGCTTGTTCAGACTCGACAAGACAACATGTACTGGGCTGTACTGTGTGCTTGTTCAGACTCGACAAGACAACATGTACTGGGCTGTACCTGTTCGGGCGCGGGACGGAATCTCTCTACCTGCAGATATACATGTGTACAAGAGTCCATAACCCCCAGAGTGTGCAACGCCACCCAAATCTCCGTCACGACTCGTTTTCAACATTATGGCATTTCATGTAGCTGCGCGTGCAGGCCGCGACATTCGCTACATGAAAATGACGTAATGTGGAAAACGAGTCGTGACAAGACCCTATCGCGCGTTGCACACTCTGGGGGTTATGGACTCTTGATGTGTACATATACGGGGCTACTGTTTGTGCAAAAGTAAAGTGCACACGTCCGTGTTACAACCGGCTTTACAATTGAATTGGGTTGAGAAACACAACCAGCTTAGGAAGTTTCGCTTGTGCCAGGCCCCCACCATGCCTGTGATACCAGGGTGGCGGATGCAGCGCCTAACCGCGAGGGCGAGGTGGTAACTCTCACAACCAATGCCCGACAAGGGGGGGGGGGGGGGGGGGGCGAGCCTCGTTCGCTGCATCCATGTTACCCTCGTGGGTGCGTCGCTATATTTACAGTTGTGTGTGTGTGTGTGTGTGCATGTTTACGTGTCTGTGTACATGTCTGTGTACATGTATGTGTGTTTGTGCATGTGTGTGTGTGTGTGTGTGTATGCATGTGGGTGCCCTCGCGTATGTCTGTGCGTGTGTGTGTGCACGTGTACCTACACATGCCCTTGCAGGTACGTATGCTGGGCGGTAGCAGTTCTGCCTCCGGTGCACACGGAGGTACAGCGTGCAAAGGCAAGACATCAGCGACGGCAGGACAGGTGAGTTAGTAGTTAGCACGGCAGCTGAAGCGTGCACACCCTACTCTAGTTGCCACTCCAGGGCTGCCACTTGCTCCAATTTTTCGGAAATCGTCCGATTTTTGACCGCCTGTCGGACAAACCGACCGATTTTGTTCCCAAAGAGGGACAACCGATTGTTTTATTTTTAGCGCTTTTTAGTAGTCCAGTTGGCAATTCGGCGCTTCCAGGTCGCATTTGGCCAGTCATTGTACATGTACATGTACATGTAGCTGTAAAATGCACGCGTTCTTGCGTGTGTGTGGACAGTTAAACATGTGTTCTGGGGCCCCAACAGCAAGCCATTTTCCTAAAAAAAATCACAAGGGGGACAGCCCCGGACCCCGTCAGATTTTTCTCCCTCCACGTGTGGCAGCCCTGCACTCGTACATTGTACAGTAGAACCTGTCAAGGCGACCACCTGTCCTTGAAGACCACTGAACCCAGGACCAAAAGATGCTATTTCCAGTCAAATGACCCTCGATAAGGAGACCACCTGGTAACAGAGACCACATTGCGAAGGTCCCTTGAGCGGTCATCTTAGACAGCTGTTTCACTGTATTTTTCCTAAAGCCTCCTACCCCCCCCCCCCCCTGCCCCCACCCCCGGGCATACTGCATGCTGAGCAACTTCCCAGACTCGTCACTCGCACAGTGTAGTGTATATACATCACATGTATTACTTGGCTGTCTTGCGCCGGTCTGGTGGCTTTGTAATTCACTAATGCATTTCATGCTTGCTGTCGTGTTGTTTTCCGGATTTGATTTCCCCGCAACGTGGATGTTTTCGTCCGACAGGCAACGTCCGAATCGCCAGCACCCGTTGCCAACGTCTGCCTGATCCACCCTCAGGAGCTGCTCATCACACAGCCGCTGGGCAAGGGGTCCTTCGGAACCGTCAACCAGGCGGTCTGGACGATGGCGGACGGCGTGAAGGTAATGCCTGTTTGTAATGTGGAGGCGGTTGACTTACCAAAATATCTTGAGTATTATGACCAACATGCGCCGAGAGTTTTATTAGTTTGGAGTGAGCGTGTTTAAAACGCAGTGGACATTCAACTGAACGAACGGTATTACCGCGCCAAGCGAATGTGACACAGCGTGTGTGTGTGTGTGTGTGTGTGTGTGTGTGTGGGTGTGGGTGTGTGTGTGGGTGGGTGGGTGCGTGCGTGTGTGTGTGGGTGCGTGCGTGCGTGCGTGTCTGTGTGCGTGTGTCTGTGTATGTCTGTGTCTGTGTGTGTCTGTGTATGTCTGTGTCTGTCTGTGTCTGTCTGTGTATGTGTCTGGCTGTGCTCACATGCCTGTACGTGGATGTGTGCTTTCACCTGACTTCGTCGCCTTTGTTGATCTTATCCCGTGGCGGTGTTGTCTGTAGCGCACGGTGGCGGTGAAGACCCTGGATGCGAGTAAGGATAAACAGCTGGCATCGCGGTTCATCAAGGAAGCCAACATCCTTCATCAGGTCTCCTCCCATCCACACATCATTCAGCTGCTTGGCATCGGCATTGATTCGCTCATGCTGGTCAGTTTGCCAGCGTGTGCTTGCTTTTAGAGAGTCGGGGATGTTGTCTGCGGTGCATTGATTCGAAGTTGTTTACGGCAATCAAGATTTTGTTTGCCGGCTACCCCCCCCCCCCCCCCCCCTCCCCAAACACATAAGTACAGTACTGAAGGATGCTGTGTAAAATCCCCAGTGGCCGCACACAGGCCCATGCAAGCAGCCAGGTGCACACAACACGGCGATTGGGTTTACGTGAATTTGTTTTGTTCGATTTCCTTCTTCGTCGGCTTAATTTACGGATGCACTAGCAGTGTGACTTCGTTGCATGACCTCATGGTATGACGTCATACAGTAAAACCTGGTGTAAGCGACCTCTGTGTTTAGCGACCACCTGCTCTTAACGACCTTTTTTTTTCCATCCACCGACATTTCTACACAGACACTGTGGGACCTGGTTCTAAAGACCACCTGGCTTTAACGACCGCTTGTGCTTGCACCGTCGGGTGGTCGCTTAAACCAGGTTTTACTGTAGTATGACCCATGGTATGTAGGCCTTTCCGGATTATGTGTTTGCATATTTTTGCATTTTGGGGGTCAAAATGCATTTTGTCCATTTTGACCCACTTTGGGCCAGGGAGTCGTAAAATACCGGTATTTTACGACTCCCTGCAAGCGATAGGTACTAGGTACTTCACCATGTTCACGATCACCATGAATGATCACCATGGTGCCAAATGTCACGCGACTAGCTGTCGCCATTTTGTTACCATGGCAACGGTGGCATTTTTTGTGCTTTTTGGGTAAATTTTTGCATTTTCTTTAGAAAAAAATTTGATTTATAGGGGTTTTTCAAAACACTTTCCATTTCCATTTTAGACCAAGAAAAAACGCATAATCCGGAAAAGCCTAATGGTATGACATCATTGAATGACTCATTGTATGACCTCATTGCATTACCTCATGATATGACCAATGGCCATAGGTCATGGTATGTCATCATAGTATGACCTCATTGCATGACCTCATTGTATATCCTCGTGGTATTACCCCAATTATCTCACAGGTAACGGAGCTAGCACCGGAAGGCTCTCTGCTCTCCAAGCTGCGACAGCGTCCGATGCCCTACAGCGTGATGCGCCTGTACCTGTTTGCCGAGCAAGTGGCCGACGCCATGGTCTATCTGGAGAGGAAGGGCTTGGTGCATCGAGATCTCGCCGCCAGGAATGTTCTCCTGATGGATGGCGAGACGGTCAGTACTGCACCCTGCTTTGTTTCTTGTTTTTTTTTTTTTTTTAATTTGTGCTATTTTACTGGTTCACCGGATAAATACAGTCAGACCTCGCTTAAAGGGGCACTCCGGCTTCATTTTCGACGCCGAGTTTTCGATGCCAAGACGAAGGTAGGTGAAAGAGAAGACCCCTCGAACAAGAACGAGTCTCCAGAAGCGATCGAGTCGAGCAGGAAGACGACTTTTTGAATTTCGCCGAGCGAGCGCTGATGACGTAATGAGGGATTAGCTTGCCAGTGGAAATGCATCTGCGCACATACATTTCACATACTTTTTGGCCAATTTTCAATCGAAGAGGAGGTTGTTTTCTATGTTCTCTCAACGTCGTGAGCGATCCCGTCTTCTATACCCTTCCAGGTACCCTGAAGGTCCTCCAGAGGAGAATTTATCTCCAGCGAAGCGTTGTTGATCCGCTAAATTCGTCTCGAGACATATTCACCCAGTGCAGTGCTGATAAATGTAGAATGTTGAATCTGTGATAATTGTCTACGATGGAGAGAGAGGTTGATAGCCGCTGTCGCAGGGAAAGTGAAGCTGCTGGAAGTAACAACGGGGAGCTTGTTAGCATCACATGTGCATCCAGACTTCAAAGCAGCTTGACGGAATCGGGGAGTACTGACTATTTGTCTCGCCCTCAGTTTAGTGAATTTTATGACCAGAAAATTATTCGATCAGGATCCCTTCTAGAAGATGTGTAGTACAGGTGATTTCTGAACTTGACGATATGGACACCGACCAGTAGACCTACCAACAACGTGTACCTGCAGGAAATTCACCCAAGGCTATTGCTATCCTCTTCAGTGGCTGTTGTTTTTTAGTAAAAATATGTTCACTTCTCTCAACATACTCCTGCATGGCAGCAAGAAGGTGCGCTATGGAATTCAACGCCACAATCTTCGCCCAGCTGTGGATGAAGCATGGTCAAGTCATGGCAGTACATATACTTGAAACAGATGAGAAATTGAAGTTCATTTGTGATGGGAAGTTTGACAGCCCCAGTGACCGAGTCAAGCAATGTCTTTTGCCGTGGCACAAATTGCTGAAGAATCCGAGATGGTCTTGGAACTATGCACATGGACAGATACTACCAGAAATAATGGTGGCATGAACCATTGTGGAATGGGACAGCTCACGGAGAATACTGGAATAGCTCAAGTATCTCTAAGTGATTGTAAATCCTGTTCTGGCTGATAGCTTCAGCCTGCTGCGCCCGTCAATGTACAATGATGGGAACATGCATTTCTGTTTTCTACATATTTGCCGGCTACTGTACTGTGGTATTACAGTTGCAGGTCCCTTATATAAAAAATATGTTCAACCCCCTCCCACATACCCACATTATAAAAATGAACTAACAATTTCACTGTTGGACTCGCAGGCGGCTAGAGAGCAAAGGATTAATTTATAGCAAAGAAAAGGACCAGGGAACTACACGTAAATTAGTTACGCTATAATGTCCACGAACAATTTAACTGTATTTGAAATAATTTTGTTTGATACCCTGAGAACTCTGAAACTTCGGAGCACTGTGGATTATATGTGGATACAACATTTATGGAAGGAAAAGTGGAATAATTTCTAACACATTGTTCAAATAATTATAGCACTGAATTGTTGAAATTGTGAGCACATTCCAATCAGCACTCTACATATGTATAAGCGGTGGAAATCGTTAGGAATAGGTCGTGAGTTGTCAGAGTGCTCCAGTATATGAGAGAATGTTTTGTTTGTCTAATCGACGGCTCGTTTGAAGCCAGAGTTGTTTGACTTGTTTCGGTCGACTTGATTCTAGATAGTAGTCGAAGGAGTACTATGAAGTACACACCACACGTTGTCCGTAAGGTATCTCGTGAGAATTCTGTCGGTACACATCAGGTATCAGCTTGGAAAGATGGATCCTCTCTGTTTCTTGAAAGCCTGTCTAGTTGGACTGTGGCTCCAGCGATTCCCTTCTCAGAGCAGATACCATACCCAATACTGTCAATGCATATTGGACAGACCTGTATGCACAACAGAAATAGTGGAGAGAAATCTCTCAGCTCATGAACACGTCAGTGAAGTTTGAACTGCCGCTGTTTGTGGCCATTAGTATAAACCTATCGACTATAAGAATAATGTGCAAACAAACTTCTATAACCACAGCTGGGGCCATGGAATTATAAACTTAGGGAACTGCCAATTCTGGTCTGAGTTGCATTCGAGGCCTGCAATTCATGATGGCTATCGTATGTTGCATTGACCAGAGATCATATTATAAAACTTCCATGCCACATTGAAACATGCACCACTTTCGAGTACTTAGGTATCCCCCACCAAATGGGCATTCGTTCTCGGGGTGGCAGGCGTCACTATTCGTTATGCCTGGATCAGATTTCATTGACCCCAACTGTCATGAAGAATCATTTTTACTTTGACTGGATTTCAGTACAAGTTGTAGAACTGCAGAATCAATTTCGTTGTATTTGGGCAACCATTTGAATTTCACTACAAACGCTCTATTGGGAAAATAGAATTTTTTTATAAAATGCATGTCCAAATTCCACATCCACCCAAATCGGAATACTTGATCACGTATTCAGTACTACACGGAATGTTTAGAAAACGCCGGGGAATAGGAATTTGCTAACGAGAACTCCAGGCCAGGGTACTAGCATACGAACAAAACAAGATAAAAACTCACCAGTGTACTTGTAGTAATTCATGTCGGTGTAATATTCACGATAAGCACCGAGGCACCCTCCGATTTGGTCAAGCTGCTTTGAAGTCTGGTTGTTCAGGTGATACAAACGGGCTTCCCGTTGTTACTTCCAGCAGCTTCACTCTCCCTGCGACAGCGGCTATCAGCCTCTCTCTCCATCGTCAACAATTATCACAGATTCAACATTCTACATTTATCAGCACTGCACTGGGTGAATATGTCTCGAGACGAATTTAGCGGATCAACAACGCTTCGCTGGAGATAAATTCTCCTCTGGAGGACCTTCAGGGTACCTGGAAGGGTATAGAAGACGGGATCGCTCACGACGTTGAGAGAACATAGAAAACAACCTCCTCTTCGATTGAAAATTGGCCAAAAAGTATGTGAAATGTATGTGCGCAGATGCATTTCCACTGGCAAGCTAATCCCTCATTACGTCATCAGCGCTCGCTCGGCGAAATTCAAAAAGTCGTCTTCCTGCTCGACTCGATCGCTTCTGGAGACTCGTTCTTGTTCGAGGGGTCTTCTCTTTCACCTACCTTCGTCTTGGCATCGAAAACTCGGCGTCGAAAATGAAGCCGGAGTGCCCCTTTAACCGCCTTCATCATTTTGCGAGAACTGTGGCAATACGCCCAGTGAGAAGGCAGATTTTGCCTGTGCTTCTGGTGAAGTAAAATAAAGCTAAACAAACAAACAAACAAACCGCACACATCCGTTTTCCACGGAAACATACGGATGGGCGAGGGAACCGGATAATCGAACACACCTACTGTATGTATGCATGACTGACATTATGCTGTAAATCGGTAACCAAGGATTTTCTTCCCGATGGCGAGGGATCCGGATAAATGAGGACCGGATAAGCGAGGTCTGACTGCATACCTTTCTGCAGTCTATCCATACATCTTTGCAACACTGCAAACGGTCTCTGAGCTCCACCAATCACTGAAAGAAAAAGAGATGATCATCCGAATTGTTTCGGGCAAGGCCCATCTTCAGGATTGGTGTAGGCCAGATATCGTTTGGAGAGTGTTGTGAAGATGTATGGTTGTAGTGGATGGCTACAGTGGAGTCTTTGCATTTTACTGAGAAATGTATTTCTGCTGTCTAGTCGAGCCAAATATCTAAAAACTCTAGGTAAAAGATTACTAGTATAATTTTATGGTCTGTAGGGTGGGTATCACTCTGCGTAGTGCTCATTTACCGTTGTGTTGGTCATTTGGTGCTGGTACTGCCGGCTAGAGTACATAAGTCCTAAGGACTTGTCAGTTTGAGCACTCCAGCAAGGTATACGTTTGCTGGTTTAAATCTGGCTTTGGAAATTTTATTTTTCATTGCTGTCAGGTTCGGCCTCATTTTCTCTGTGCTGCGCTGATGAGTCCACAGAGGACGAAACAGTTCAGTCCGCAGATTGAGTAACCCCCAAAGGATGTGTGCAACGGTACCGACATGTGTGTTGTGTCCACTGTCTTGTCCTGCGCACAGGCCAAGATCAGTGACTTTGGTTTGAGTCGCATGGCAGCCAGTGAGCTGACGACCGTGAACAGAACCTACACTTCACCAGTGCCAGTGGCATGGTAAGACTTAGGGTGTGTTTACACGACAACGCTGGACCATTTTTGCGTTTTCGATCCCGCAAAGTTGTATGCGTTTTCGGGAGTTAACACGAAAACGCTGCAGCGTTTTCGGGTGTTTACACGAGAACGCTCTGCGTGCACGGACATGCAGTCCACAAGTGCCGTACTGTTGAATTTTGGGCGCGCAAATACGCTCTCCTATCCAGGTCCCGTTTCTGCAGTAAATACCACTGCACCAATTATTTCTCTACTTTCGAACGGTGCAGTAGATGAGCGTGTAGGATGGCCAAGTGATCGCAGGTTTGGACTGCAAAGAGTGCGCAGAGAATGGCTACAGCGATCATCCTTCTTTTGTGGGCCTCCAGTGAAGAGCTCCAAATCGGGGGCATGCGGGTTGCACCCAGAGAACAACGGAACGTACAGTACATGTAGGCAATACGCGAGGATGGAGTTAGTAAAGAACGCCGCACGAGGATGGCCTTGTGAGCGTGATGAAATTATTTCTAATAATCCAGCACACAAAAATACGTCTCTCAGCTCTTTCTATTTTTCCGCCATTGCCGTAGCCATGGCACAGAAACGATGAGGTTTCGTTTTCGCTGTTTACACGGTTGGAATCCGGGAAAAAATAGGTGCTTTTCCAGATTCTTACACCTTGGTGAGCGTTTTTAATATTTTGTTCCGTTTCGCGCTTGCGTTTCTTCCGTTTTCGTGTACTGTCGTGTAAACGGAAGGCCAAAACGCAAAAATATTCTTGCGTTTTCGCTGGCAGCGTTATCGTGTAAATGCACCCTTAGACTTCACACTAGCCGCGTGTCTGCTATTCATGACATCGTAGTGATGTAATGCTTGCCATGTATGATGTCATATTGATGATGCAATGCTTGCTGTGCATGATGTCTTATTGATGCAATGCTTCCTATGCATGATGTCATATTGATGCAATGCTTCCTATGCATGATGTCATACTGATATCATGCTTACTTTGCATGATGTCATACTGATGTCATACTGATGTCATACTGATATCATGCTTGTTTTGTAGCTGCATGCTGTAAGTCTACAAATTTTCGGCATCTTCGAATCCCCCCCCCCGGCCAAAAACACATGTTGGCCGCCTTCAAATTTCAGCTTGTACTTTTTTCTTTTTTACTAAAAGCCATGTGGTGCATAATGCAATGGGAACATGCAGCGGCCATGGTGGTGCACAATGCAATGGGAACATGCAGCAGCCATGGTGGTGCATAATGCAATGGGAACATGCAGCAGCCATGGTGGTGCACTGGTGGGGGCCAACTGCTGCTCCCTGCCTACAATGTAACACTGGACCTTGCAAAACAAAATTTCAGCCGCAACAAATTGTCGGCCAGAAACGCCCGGGCCAGAAATAGCTGAAAATATATATGCGCCGAATATTTTGTTGACTTTGTGTGTGTATGTGTATGTCTATGTGCGTGCATGTGTATATGTATGTGTACGTGCATCACTGTCCGCTTCACTGGACAGGACTGCACCCGAGGCGGTGGCACACAATCGCTTCAGTCACAAAAGCGATGTCTGGAGTTACGCCGTTACCACGTGGGAAATGTTTAGCGAGGGACTGAAGCCCTACGAGGGAAAGCAGATGTTTGAGGTACGTGTGTGTGTGCGTGTGTATGTGCATGTGTGTGTGTGTGTGTGTGTGTGTGTGTGTGTGTGGGTGTGTGTGTGTGTGTATGTGCATGTGTGTGTGTGTGTGTGTGTGTGTGTGTGTGTGTGTGTGCGCGCACTTGTGTGTGTGTGTGTGTGTGTATGTGTGTGTGTGTGTGTGTGTGTGTGTGTGTGTGTGTGTGCGCGCACTTGTGTGTGTGTGTGTGTGTGTGTGTGTGTGTGTGTGCGTGTGCGCGTGTGTGTGATGAAGTTATATATTTACCGGGACCTTGGAACAGTTTCTTGCTGGGTTTTACGTTTGCACACAGATTTGTGTGGAGATATTCTTCCATCGTCAACCTTCAATGGAGTCGTTTCCTTTTGTGGGTTTTCCGTATGCAAACACAGATTGTCAGCATGGTGCAACCACCGACCAATTATCGCTTGCCCCGTCCCAAACTGTGCTCACCGCAAACGTACGATCTGCTCAGACTCTGCTGGCACGAGAACCCGGACAAGCGGCCGGACTTTCGCCTCCTCAAGGACCTCATTCAGTCGGTAAGTCTGGGCTGCCGTGCGTTTGTACTGTATTATTATTTTGTGTACGTGGTGTTTGTGCATGCGCGTGTTGCTGTGGTGTGAAAAGCAGTTTTCGCCTTGAGTTCCTCTTGCCCAGTTGTGTTTACGGCGTCTTGTAGCTAATCGTCTTCCAAATGTAAATATTAAATACCTCGTCGTCTTGTCTAAGTGTGGAGATGGCACGGGGCTGGGAGCAGGGGAGTAAAATCCTCAGACAACATACGATAGTCGCGGTGGTGTTGTAAGTAAACTGAAGTTGTTGGTGTATCCGCGTCGCCACCGGTAATTGTGCTGAGAAACACGGCCAGCTTGGGAAGTTTGCACACTGTGTCGGGCCACCACCAAGGGGGGGGGGGGGGGGGGGGAGTTACGCCTGTGTGGCAGATGCCGTGCTTAGCGGCAAGACCAAGGGAGGCTCACAGGCAAGTGCCCTATGGTGGGGGAGGGGGGGGGGGTCTCCTTAGCGGCATCCATGTCAGGGGCGTTGGAAGGTATGTTAGTGTGGTACGGTCAGCCATCTGAAGTACTATTTACTCCTGGGGGGGGGGGGCTGAGGCGAAAATTTTGGAAATTTAGAGCCCAAACCAGTGAATTTTATTGATTCACGGGGTACTTGGGGCAAATAGTGGTACGGTCAATTTTTTATTTTGCATTGTATTCTATTATCTGTACTTGGGCATTCCCAACAGACCCGAAGGTCTTCTTACAGGGTACCCAAGATGAATGATAAGTTGCTTGCTGCCCATTCAGCCTGAATGCTCCCGTGGGCTTTGCCAGCCATCTTCTTGTGCGAAGAGGCCGAATCTCTTTATACAAGTACTTGCTGCGGTTGTAGCTCAAGCCACTTTTTGCCTGTGGTGGCGGCAGGCCAGAAACTTGAATTGTCGGAACACTTGACCGAAAAATGCTGTGCTCGACTTCTTCAGCTTTCAGAGACTGCCTGACTCTCATAATTCCAGGGAAGTCTCTGCTGAAGGTGAAGTGGTGCAGCTTACGGATACCCTTGATGGCCTTGAAATCATCGCTCGGCGAGCCAGTTGTCCTAACAGAACCAAGCATCGTCAGCATCCGACAGCAGATGACTCGCGTTGCACGCAGCCCTGCCATTGACCACTGCAGCTAGCTGGTCAAAGGTGTAGACGTCGTTACGATGGTAGCTCTGCTTCAGTAGCCCGAAGCAGCCATCCACCAAGCAGCGGGCATGGCCTGCTGCCATGAACGAAAGTGATATTTTGTCATGCACTTCGCGCATGACTCTCCAAGAGAGATATGCGATGACTGATTTGTTTTTATTTTGCCCTCCGCAGTTGTTGGCATGGAGGACACACTTTTTTTCATGGAGGCCATAAGTTTCAAAGTAGTGATGAAGAAGGGAGATTACAGAATTTGGGGCCATGGCTCTTCTTCCCATCAGGACCGATTGTCTGGGCTTCGTCAATTAGATAGTTCATCTGCTTGGGCAATGCCTCGTTATTGATGCCAGTTATCTGCACCTTTCTTGGGGTCTTGAAACATATGGCCGGGCCCAATCTGCCTGGCGAATTTGGGCAGTGCAACATTCTGTGCGAAATCAAACGTATAGTGCATGCTTACCAAGTCACGCGAACACAGACGGATGGTCGGCAGACCCAAGTCCCGGGTTGCAAGTTAGTTCACTGTGCACGGTCACACTGTACTGGACGGTAATACTCTCGCTCGCGTCCTGCGGCGTGGACATGTTCCTGTAGGGCCTCGCATGCCGCCATGCTGTCAGCTTTGCCGCGCGACTCCGTCACTGCACGTCTCGGGGACCCGCACGTCTGACGTACGTATGTGCGCGGAGTCATGAATATGTAGTTAGGGAAGCATGCAGGCCAAATGGAGCGGACGCTAGCATAGCCTACTCCCTTCAAGCCATAATCAGTGCACGACTCAACGTACGACTTGTGTACACGGAGATAACCCTGGCTTGCTGGCAGGTACGTCGGCGGCGTCCCAGCACGACCATGCAGAGGACCTGGATGCGGGATACCATAATTCTCCGCATGCGCCTTAATGAACTCTGCTACAACTTTCACGGTTTCGTACTGTAATGCGTGTTTCGGTTTGCGGCCAGCACTGATTACCATGCACCCTTGCCCACACGTCCATTCTCCTTCGCGTGCTTCTTCAGATTCTTCAGTGCCCTGTGGCCAATACCGTATAAATACTTCGAAGTACTCAAATGCACCTGGGCACAAATTGGCTGGTGCCGAAAATTATGATTCCCGGCAGGTGTCCCTCTCCCTGGCCTGGCCAAGACGGGTTGTCCCAGGACTTCTGATGGAATACAGCACACCGATAATCATAAGCTCACCAACTCCATCGTCTAGGTCTTGCATGCCGAGTTGATGCGCTTCCACATCTCCCGGTTCGAATTTCAGTAAACAATTTTAATTGCATCCAGACTAACACTGCGGAACTGGTGCAGGGTTTGCGTCATCAGCAGGTGCTGCTTCCGCCTCAGCGAAAGCTGCGACTGCATACTTGCCACCCATACCAGTTTTCCCGGTATACTACCGGAAACTTTGAACTAGAGTACTAGTAGCTACCGGCATACCGGGGATTTTTGACTTTGGTCGAAAAACTACCGGTATTGGCACTGAACCACGAGTGTTCGAAAAAAGGTTGTTTTGTGGTGTGACAAGGGCACATGCAGCCCTCCATTTCACAGAATACGCAAAATACTCAAATATTGCCCAAAAAACGAGAAAATGGGCGAAATTGGCGAAAGCCAGTAAAATAAGGGAAATGAGAGAAATAAGGGAAACTGGGGGTGTGACTAAGGGATTTGCTTTGGCTGGGTTGGCAAGTATGCGACCGGTGCAGCTGCTACTGCTGCGATGGGCTCCGCTGGTGGTGGCTCCTGTTGGAGAACTCCTGCAAGGCTCAATAGCATCTTCACTGTCGACACCGACGTCGAGATAGTGGTCATCCTCGTTCGCTTCGTCTTCGCTTTCCGCCATAACTGCAACAGCGCATGTTTCCTCAAAAGACGTCTGCGCTCCGCCAGGTTCATCAGACTGTCCGTACACTTCGTCAGTCATCTTATCGAGGACGGAGGCACGAACCTCGTCCGCCATGAAAACCTCTTGGAGCTTGCCATTACCAGGATATCTCGATCGCCACAACAGAGCAAGCTTTCACATTGACAACAGCTGATGCGCAAGAAGAATGGAAAGAATCATCGAGGCGCGTTCTTCACACTTGGATAACTCCACCGTAACTTGGCCGATTTTGCTCAAATAATGACTGAGTTCAAGCTCTGAACCTCAGCTCCCAGAACATCGCATGAGTCATGCCATAAATAGGGCTTGAAAGTGATGACGTCAAAACGGCCAGGGAGTAGTAAGTTGACATCAGATTTCTATTTTTGGATCCACTAAGGTGTGACTTTGCTATTGCCTAAGTATGTGGGTGCATAGCAACCCACTCATGTCGCATGCAGGTGTGACTTTTATTTCGCCACCAGTTGTAACCCCGCCCCCAGTAGCCAAATCAGTCAGTTTCACTGGCTACATCACCATGCTGTGGGTAAGACCGCTTGAAATGTGCTTGGATCCATACAAAAACTAGATCCAAGTGGATCCAGTTTTTGAATTTTTGAAATTGTTGCTATGCTGTGACGTAGCACTTTCAAGTCCTATTGCCCGGGGCCGCCACGGTTGGGGGGGGGGGGGGGGGGGGCGTTTACGTGATGTCCTGCGCGACGCCCAAAAATCAACACGTGTGCAGTCAGCTGACTTTGAGTGCGTTTTACTCTGTTTCGCTCTGGACTGGATAAGGTCTATTTTCTCATCCGATGGCTCACTTTGTACCTGTACAGTCAGACGTCGCATAACCGCACACATCCGTTTGCCACAAAAATATCCGGATAGGCGAGGGAACCGGATAATCGAACACACATACTGTATGTATGCATGGCATGTGCTGTAAATTGGTAACCAATGATTTTCTTCCGGATGGCGAGGGATCCGGATAAACGAGGTCTGACTGTAGTAGGATACGCTTGGCCATGGTAAACCTGTCCGAACTTCATTTAACCTGGCCTGTGTGTATCATGCTTTATGTGTATTCATGTGTGCATACCGTACTCGCGTGAATAGTGCCCTAGTCTCCAAGAGCCAGTGAAAAATAAAGCCCCTTCTTGAATAGTGCCCCCCCCCCCCCCCCCCGGTCTCGTAACCAAGCCCATGTGCAAGTTTGGTGTTCTTTTGCTAATGTTCTTGGCCATTGCTTTGCACTGGTGTTTTCAGGAACAAAATCGCAGGTCTTGTTCTCGTTTCTGTGGAGTCGTGAGCGTTTACAGTACACTTTAGGCTCTGTTTTTCTTTGTTTTATGCTGGATGACGCAAATGTACCAGCAATGAAAACATAGTGCCCTCTCTTGAATAGTGCCCTCTCTTGAATAGTGCCCTCTCTTGAATAGTGCCCTCTCTTGAATAGTGCCCTCTCTTGAAAACTGCCCTCTCTTGAATAGTGCCCTCTCTTGAATAGTGCCCTCTCTTGAATAGTGCCCTCTCTTGAATAGTGCCCTCTCTTGAATAGTGCCTCATCTGTGATGGGCATTGAACAAATAGTGCCCCAGGGTCACTAATCGCGCGAGTACGGTATATGTGCAGGGGCGTCACACACGGTACGACCACTACGACCATGGTCGTACCACTTTTCGTCCAGGATGGTCCACCCAATTCATCCGAAAAAGCAATAAAAAAATTCAAGGATCTTCGGACTTGTACAAAACATCGCAACTGTTACTTTCATTTCAAGGAGCATACAGACTTGATGCCTAGCACTAGCAGCTACGCCCAAGACTCCAGGCGGCTATCCATTACGATAGGCGGTTGGAGTCACGGTTAGAGATAACCAGACGATGGATTCCTCACGGACGCATTCACTGCAAACTTGACGGAAACAGAGCTGAGCTGGCGGCGATCACTGGGTCCAGAACTAAAATTTTCCAAGATCTACCATGTTACTATGGCGATCAGCACGTCAAGAGACACTACATGTATGTCACTTGTCAGCTACAACATAATAATTATATTCTTTCCACAACGACACCTACCTAGTACCTCTGGCTCCTGACGATCTACTGCAAGCGGATTCGAAAATGCATTACACCCGCGAACGCAGCGCTTGTCAACAGAAAAGGGAAGCGCTTCATTCTCCGAAGCTGAAAAGTGTTTGGACTGCTGCTCCATGGCGGCAGAATATTCTGCAGCTGTTCACCGACACGACCCGCTTCACCTATATTATAACGATTTACGATCGTTTCGTTCCCCGAGTTTTCTGGTAGCAGCAACAAGAATTTCGTCCGCGACGACAGGACGAAAGTCTCTCGCAAACTAAAGTCCTGTTGCCACGAAGACAGAGAAGATTCCGCAAGCGCTTTCTTCTGCTTCCATTGTTGTAGCTCTCATGTCCACTGGCAGATCTTTCAATCCCACCGAACAAAAACAAAGGATCTTCTTCTCTCTCTAAAAACAACTAAAATAATTACTTCGCGACTGCCCAGGCCGGACGTGTACATAGTGTACGCGACGCGGCAGACTTTTGCAGGACACGACATACGTTTTTGCATAGCCGCTGGCGCTAGACCGCGCAGCACGCTTGTACTTCGAATTTTGCGATTTTTTCGAGGGCAATGGCCCTGAATCATTGAATGGGTTCCATTTGCCTTGCTTGGCTACCTACGATGTACAGAAAATACCAAAAATCCATGAGAAGTATGTTTTTGGAGCTGGAGTGGGGTTGTCGAATAAGTGCTAGGGGAACCCTCCTTTGCGGCTGTAGAGCGCTAAAAGGTGGCCTGTTAGCCGAAAAATCCTTATTTTTTTCTTCGGGGGACACCCCCGGACCCCCGGTCGTACCACTCCCAGCCACCCTGTGACGCCCCTGATGTGTGTATGCGTGTATGCGTCTGTGTGTGTGTGTGTGTGTGTGTGTATGCGTGTATGCGTCTGTGTGTGTGTGTGTGTGTGTATGTGTGTATGCGTCTGTGTGTGTGTGTGTGTGTGTGTGTGTGTGTGTGTGTGTGTGTGTGTGTGTGTGTGTGTGTGTGTGTGCATGTATGTGTGTGTGTGCATGTATGTGTGTGTGTGCATGTATGTGTGTGTATGTGTCTGTGTGTGTACCGGTATGTATGTGTGTGTGTGTGTGTGTTCTTGCACGTACATACGTGTATACACTGCAGAGTCGTCCACCGGTTGGCAAGGTGGTGAGCAGTCACAAACCGGGACGTGTTGGTTGCGAGGGAGAACTAGCTCTGACCAAGGGAGAAACGGTGGTGATCATTGATCGCAGGTTGGTTGTACCGGATGCGGCTTCTTCTTTAACCCGTTGTATGCTGGTCTGTTTCCCCGATAAACTGGCACTCCAGCGCATGGACTCTCCTGGTGGAGTTTGGGCGCACTGCTCCGAACGAAATTGATTCTCGTTTCAGTTTATCTGGATGGAATTTCATCATCCTGGGCTTGTTGGAAAGATCAGGACCAAGCGAATCCACCCTGGAAGTTCTCAGCTCCATAGCCCGTAAATACGTCATCCGCACGCAAAGGGTTAAGCTGTTCACGGTGACTCCCTTGATTTAGGCTGAGGCCTGTGGAAAATCCGTAAATGCAAATACGAAAATACTTTCAGCGCCGCGCAGTAAGTATTCAAGTGTGTTGTATTGTAGGAGTTACTGTGTGCATGATGTCATGATGTCATGATGTCATGATGTCATGATGTCATGATGTCATGATGTCATGATGTCATGATGTCATGGTTGTGAGTGAGCAGGTTTGCTTTCCAGTGTTAAGGATTTGTATAGGGTGAGTCAGCTGGAATGGATTGACTTGCTGGAATGGATTGACTTGCTGGAATGGATTGACTTGCTGGAATGGATTAACATTCACAGGTGTTCTAGATATTAAGTTGTCGCTGGGTTCAGAGCTAGGTGTATTCGTAGTGGAGTTTACCCTTGCATACACCTCATGACTTCCTACTCACTGTCTTCTTTTTCTCTCTCTCTCTCTCTCTCTCTCTCTCTCTCTCTCTCTCTCTCTCTCTCTCTCTCTCTCTCTCTCTCTCTCTCTCTCTCTCTCTCTCTCTCTCTCTCTCTCTCTCTCTCTCTCTCTCTCTCTCTCTCTCTCTCTCTCTCTCTCTCTCTCTCAACCCCCCCCCCCCATCTCTCTCTCTCTCTCTCTCTCCCCCCCCCCCTTCTCTCTCTCTCTCTCTCTCTCTCTCTCTCTCTCTCTCTCTCTCTCTCTCTCTCTCTCTCTCTCTCTCTCTCTCTCTCTCTCTCTCTCTCTCTCTCTCTCTCTCTCTCTCTCTCTCTCTTTCTCTCTCACACACACACACACACACACACACACACACACACACGCACACTCACTCACTCACTCTATTTCCTCTCCTCCTCCTCCTGTTGTCAGCGATGCTACGGCATATTTTGGCCAGAACTCTCAGCTGAAGACGGGGACTTTCCCTGCGGGACGTGTGCACATACAACAGCAGGACACGGAGAGTGCCGCCTCTGGCAAGAGCAAACTGTCCAGCGGAAGCCCAGCTGCTGTGTCAGCGCCTGCTGCCGCAGCGGCCATCGGCACACTCATCGATCTGCCCACGCCCGTGTCGCCGCCGCTCGATCCGTACGATGACGTCATCGTGACGCCGTCGGGCAATGTCGTGCAAGGTTAGTGAGCAGGGGACATTCTGCACCGGGGTGGCATTAAAATTCGTAGTACCGTAACTAAAAAACCTAGCGACTAGTCGTAAATCGTGAGGTTGCGCACAAGGTGTGAACTGATTCGTAATAGGTCGTCGCGGGTACGAAGAGTCAAGACAGTGAGTTGTAAAATTATCAGTATTTTAGTACGAGACGAAAAATATTTTCGTAGATCTGCTCTGTTTCGACAGCGTTTGGACGAATCTTCGTAGCGGCTTTCGTTACTTGAACCCGGAGGGTCAATATCTTACGATTTTTTGTTGTGCGCAACCTCTCTAATTTATCTGGATAACTACCCGGTTGCATTCAAGGTGTTTTGCAATTGAAGAGTCAGTGTGTAGCTGATTGGTTGGGAGTAAGCTCGTGCCGTGTTTTGCATGTGTCCACGTGCAGGACACCCAGCGGTGGCAATAACAGACGCGGACTTCTTCGGGCTGAGTCCCGTACGCGTCACACCGTCCAACGCCAGCACCGCAAGCAGCTCCAACGCCACCTTCAGCGCAGCCGGTGGAGCTCTTAACGTAACCTCGGCGACGGCTTCTGTCGGCCCGTCGGACGGATACATGAACATGGCGGCGACTGCGGCTCCGAAGCGTTCTGCAGCACCGCAGTCACCGCCATTGCCCACGTCCGACTACGCCAATGCCGATCTGGCCGCGGCGCACTTGGCCAGCCCCTCGGCAGCCAAGCCCCTGGCACCGGCGCGTCCCCTGCGCCCGCCCAACAGCCGTCCGTCCGGGTACCTGGTGCCGCGCGACATGACGGAGAACGCACGGCGGGAGAGTCCCTCGCCCACCTCGCTCGGCAACGGTAGTGGCTCGTCGTCCAATGCTCCCAGTCCGTCTGCTCTAACAAACAGTGGCAGCAGCAGCTGCGGAAATGCTGGCACAGCTGCCGTCAGAAGTACTGGACATGTGCCCCCGGTGGTAAAGAGCACCGCAACTGTCCGAGATCGGCCTGTTCCAGCCGCTAGGCAGTCTTCGGGCATGTCAGTCACCGTGGCAACTGTTGCACAGACAGCCGGCGACGCCACGCAGCCCTACGCAATGCTGTCCACCGACCGCGTACCGAGAAAGGTGAGCCGCATCATTTTTCTCCTCTCCTTTCCCTCTCTGTCTGTCTGTATATCTGTGTTTCTGTCTGTCTGTCTGTCTGAAGATGACATGAATTTGTTGAAAAAATAAAAAAAAAAAAGGACAGAGAAAGTGTTTTAACTCCGAGTTTCACGCACTAAGCGATAATCAGAAAACAGTAATGAGAAATCTGGATCAGTATTGGTTTTTATACCCACAAAGCAAAGTGTTAATGACTGCATCGTGGCGCAAATCTAAATTTGAACTTGTTGAAATGTTAATACGTGACTCAGTATCAAGTCTTGCTTCTGTTTTCCTGTTTGGAAATCCACGGGTGTATACACTAACTCGATGTGGTAGCAGCAGCAATGGTGGGTGATGTTTATTGTGCACGGTGGCATATGTTACGTGATCAGTCTCCTATTCAGGTATCGCAAATCTGTCTTTGCCGGCAACTAGCGGCTCTAAGTAGTGATGGGTTTTCGACTTTTGTACAAGACCTGGATACCAAAGTGTAGCTCTGTAGGCTTCGATTGTTAATCAGCATGTGTGCATGGTGTATGTTTGTGTATGTGTGCGTGTGTGCGTGTGTGTGTGTGTGTGTGTGTGTGTGTGTGTGTGTGTGTGTGTGTGTGTGTGTGTTGGTATGTGTGCGTGTGTGTGCGTGTGTGTGTGTGTGTATTCGTGTGCCCATACGCACATGCGTGTGTGTTGCTGTATACATTACTCGCTATGGCATCAGCTGCTCCGAAAGCTCGCCATGGACCTGCCGTTGCTTCATACACCTCGGGACACCTTCCCAGCCGAAGCAAGCGGCCACCTCGGCCTCACCGAACACGTCCGCAGCCGCAACCGGTGGCTCCGCACAGTCTGGCAATCTCTATGAGAGTATCTCACAAGGATTTCCACCACCGCAGACACAACACGACAGACAACATCAGGAACCAGCTACGTCGCCGGCCTACCACAACTCCGAGATCTTCGGTCGCGGCGGACCACCTGTGCCCGCGAACCAATCTCACGCGGCGACCCCTTCGACAGCCTCCCATCTCCCGAAGGCAGGCGGTGCAGGTCGTCCTCTAACGGTTTCGACCGCATTCTCCCCGACTGCTACCCTTCCCTCAGACACGAGCTCCATCGTAATGGTGAGTTTGTAGCGCAGAGGAATGAAGATCATCCGTACAACATTGCCGGGATAAGTAGCTCTGCAGGAAACCCTGTGCGTGGGATGTGCTGTGTTGCTGCAGGCAATCTCAGGGCCCAGTCTATCGGTTCCAGTTCTTGGAACCGATAGACTGGGCCCTGGGAGTCATAGGTTGTGTGTGTGGGATGGGGGGGGGGGCATGCGTGTGTGTGAACTGTGAGGTTTTTAGCATTGGAGTGTGACCAGTGTTGAGCACGGGTCATCATCCCCTGTAATGATACATGCTTGGCAGTACGGTATTGTCCGGAGTTAGTCATTAGCCGCTCTTTAGGTACCAGCAGTTCACCCAAGATAGTCCGTGCGGTTTGTTGTGGTGTATTATTATGACGTGGGTGAACGTGTTTGAAACTACCCGACAGCTTTATACCACGATGGTCGAATCAGTTGTAATAAATAGTAGTGTTGAAACGATCTCACCGGATACTCGTTAGCTCGCTCGCCAGAAACTCGGCTCGTTTGTGCAGCCAGCTCGTTTGCACTAACGAACACCATACACCGTACTCTGTACACATGGCAGTACATATCGACCGGAGAGTCGTAAAATATTTTACGACTCCCTGGTCGATCGAGAGTCCAGTCCCGCGCAAAGTGAAAATCACTCGCAGTTACAGTGACTGTATGCCTGCACGGCACTTGAGTTGTTTCAGTTGTCGTTGCAGCTTTGGTGGGCTCTAGTGATGTCTTGTTCCGCATCTGCTGACCTGACGCAGGATATTCTTCGGTCACCTCTCCATTCGAGTGAAAGTTTCGCTCAGTCGTTTGGAAGTTTTCTCCCGCAATGCAGCGAAGACCAGGGCTACTTGCAATCTTTGCAAAACGGTCTATTCTTACAAAGGCTACTCGACGACGGCGCTGAAAAGACATCTCGACACCAAACAGCAGTCCGAAGTGAAGCAGCAGCAACCCCAAATGCCGGCGGTGATAATTTGAACCAGCTGAAAAAAATCGGACTAAGAAATTTTTTTATTCAAAAAATCATATTTGCCACATCAATGAAACTCGTTAGCTCGCTCGATAGCTTGCTCGTTAGTGGAACTGATCGCTCGTTTGTTATAGATACGCTCGTTTCAACACTAATAAATAGGGTAGATGTCTTTAATTCGTGTGACGAAAAATCTGGATGCGCCCTATACTC